CCAAGGGTGAGGAGCAGCAACGCCGCCCCGGTCGTCAGCCGCGCGCCCCGCCTTTGGCTGCTCTTGTTCTGCTGCTCAGCCTCGGGCTGCTCCTGCACACAGGTATTATACCGCCGCTGCCCTTTCTCAGCCGGGGGTGGGGGGGGGGAAGAGATTCGGGGTGGGCTTAATGAGGATTTTTAATTAATTGATGGCGGGGGGGGGAAGGATGCCCCAACAGAGTTGTCTCAAGTATTTCGACTTTAAAAAAAAATGAAAAAAAAAATGGAGTCTTGTAAGACTTTTGCTTCTTCTGGCAGAAAAAAACCGTGATTTTATTGGAACATCTTTCAAAGTAAACTTGGAAGAAAGTCTGTGGCTAAGGAGGGACGCGGAATTCTGCCTCGCTGCAGTTTGGAACAATCCACTCGGAAGAAAAAAAAGGGGGGGGGAAGTTTGGCTCATCGAAGGCTTGTTGCGCCTGCTAGATAGATAGAAAAGCGCCTTTGTTTTGATCTACAGATCCGGGGAATCTGACACGCTCGAGGGCCTCCCCGGCTGGGCAAAAAACGTCCCTTGCCCGGGTTTCAAAAAGCGTTTCGGCGTCGGCTCGACGGAGCTACGCGGCGCGGAGGTGGCTGCGTTCTGGGGAGGGGGCGGCTGCGTCGGGGTTTGATTGGCGTCGGGACCTCCCTGCCCGGGTGTTTACTTGAGTCGGAGCGGGGATCGGGTTTCTCCGCTCGCTGCCGCTCCCTTCCGCGGGCAGGAAGAGAGTCTCGGCCCCCGTGATCTGCCGCTGCCAATGGAGGATCTCGGGAGGGGAAAGCGAAGGATACGATCGCGGTGGAAAGGCGTCCTTCCAGCCTCTACGCACGGGAGCTTTAATACCGACTCCTTCTGGCGGCTGGAACCTTGTATATATAGTCTAATGCAGTGTTTCTCAACCTTGCCCATTTTAAGGCATGTGGACTTCAACTCCCAGAATTCCACAGCCAGCTATGCTGGCTGTGGAATTCTGGGAGTTGAAGTCCACATGCCTTAAAATGGTCAAGGTTGAGAAACACTGTTCTAACGTATCCTGGGTTCTGACATATTTTGAGGAAGCTTGTTCGTTTATTTCTGCGAAGGTAGCTTTGTGTGAGAAATACAAACCAAGCTTTTTCCCCAGTGATACTCAGAAAGTTACAGTTACAAAACAACTGGCGGGGGTATTAAGTTAAAGGAGGCTTTATTAGTCGTCTCTTATTCTCTGGGAATTAAGATCGATCGGTTTCAGCTTTTAAATAATTGATAGCTTTTCCGAACAAAATGGGGAAAATGTATGTACAGTGCAAAAGATTACTATTGATCTTTTACAGGTGTACTTCAGCAAGATGAAGAAGAAGAACCATGCAGTAAAAAAGTCGTTTCAAAATCTGTGACTGTATTTAGCCATTCAGCCATAGATTTTTAAGTGTTAATATTTTGACACAGAGATTGGATTGATTAGTTTTAGCTTGGCCTTTGTATTTTTTATGATTTATTTTTTTTTTCTCAGAGAAGAGCAGTGTTAGTCTCTTGATAGCCGAACGTCGGGAAGAGTTTGGTAGCATGTCTTCAGATTAACACATTTTATGTAAATAAGCTTTATGAAAATGTATTGATCTGAAATGGTGCTCTTCTGACGTTTGAAATTTGCAACTCGTGGCTTATATTTTAATTTATTGTAGGAATACAGTCAATCGGACAGCTCCCCCCCCCCTTCCCCAGTATTTGTGGCCAACAGGGATCTTGGTGTTTAGGTGTCTATATATTTAAAATATTTAGCCACTCATGTTATAACTAACTCTGGGCAGATAAATATTAGCTACGTAGTGTTTCTAAAAGCTGCACAAGTGGTTTGAAGATCTTTACAGAGTAAGGAAATACTGTTAACATACTGTGCATCTGGATTGTTTGTGAATTTTAAAATTTACTTAAATAATGAACTAAAAAAATCTGAAGTCATGTTACATTACTACATTGCATGCATAGCTCTTTTTAATGACAGACATTCTGTCAGTGTGCTTTTGCTTCTAAAAATGTTAGAAAGGCCCCATCAAATGAATTTGAGTCTAACTTCATAAATACCTTTTCCATAATTTTCTTTGTGAACTGGGAACCTAAATCATGCTCAAATGAGCAGGATTGGGAATATAAATTAATCCAACATACAGGAAAGCATTTGAGGCAACGGTTGTAGTATTATGCTCATGAGCATTGCTTTTGTGAAAGGTTGGATATGAAATTGGATTTTTGGTCTGTGATTTTGAGTAATAGAAAAAAAATGCATCCTGCTTATCATATTACTATAAAACGAAGGTGAAGAGTATGATCTGATGATCATGGCTGCAATTTGTTCTGATAGAACTTTTTTTTTAATTAGTTTCTTGATATAATCTGTTGTATAGTTTGGATACAGAAAAGCATTCAAATGCAGTTGTAGAAGCAAACACAATTTATATACAGTTGCATGGTGGTTCAATTATGGGATTGTACTGTAGCAGGTCTGATTAAAGTATTGCACTACAGCCTACAACTCTTTCACATTTTAACCAAAATATCCATTCATTCCATTTTCATAGTTATATTTCTGCAATTATTTGAACATAGCTTTTTGTGATGATGATTCTTGTTTGAAAATCAACAGTTACTTATTTTTCTACTTTGGAGAGAGGATGTGCTAAGTTTCCATCCAGTTTTAAACTTACAGTAGGCAGTGCTCTCTAGTTTGTATAACTTTTGTAAGAGCAGAAATTAGTTTGGGAGGAATTGGCTAGGGGTGATATATGATTGGTATATGCATTTGACACTTCAAGTGCAATTGATCTTTTCATATTTTTCACAATTTAAATTTAAATTAAGGATATACTCACTAGAACTTAAATCCCTATATGAAAAGAACAGAGTACACATCACAATCTGAAGACTGTTTTTCAACCTTAACAGCTTTAACTTCAACTCCCAGAATTCCTCAGCTAGCATGAAATTGATAGTATTGATGATTTCACTTGTAATTACAGGTAGTCCTGGATTACTGGAAAAGTAGGTTTACGATGGTCATAGCATCCCCATAGTTATGTGATTGCAATTCAGTTGGTTGGCAATTGATGTGCATTTACAATGGTTCCAGCATCCTATGGCAAAATGATCACCACTTGTGATCTTTGCAGCCAGTTTGCAGCAAGCAGAGTCAATAAGGAAGACAATAGTAAGTCCCAAGTTGCAGTCATGTGACAACACACTTAGGGGTGATTTATTTAACTGCTGCAATGGAACTGACATAGGTCATGTATGGTCACATGTTTATTTCATTTAATGATCATGTTGCTTAGCAGCAGAGTTGTCTGGCCCAATTTCAGTTGTTAATGGAGGACTCAGTTTTACTTAAATAAACACAAGCAACAATTCCCACCAAAGTTAAAAAATAACTTTATTAAGAATTCTATTCCTATGTGCCTTTGAGTTTAATCTGAGCTTGGAAACAACCACTTGACTAGGGAAACCACAATTAAAAATCAGGGTAAATAAAAGTAGATAAATCTAGGATTAGGGTATTTAGAGGACAAAGTTGAATAGAAAATAACATGCCATCTTTGACTTTGTGATCATTTTTGTTCAAAACTTTCATGAGTATATCTAGCTGGTCTTTGATATTTTGATTATAGTTTGGAAATAAACCTAGTGTAAATGTAATGAATTTTTCAATTACTAAATAAACTTAAAGCAAAGCTACCCAACCCGAAATTGGTGCAGTACTCTTTGCAAGCTGTTGTATGGATCACAAGGGGATATCATCAGGAGGCCTGTTAAATGAAAACGTCTATTAATTTCAATTTCAATTCAATATAATTATATATTATCAGTATTCCTTTGCCCATTATTTATATGACTAAAAACTCCAAAACAGATTTTTTGCTTCATTGCTGAATATTTCTTAATAAATAGGCATACCAGTCTAATTTTTATCACAGACCCAGCATATAAATGCACAAGCTAAATATAGTTAGCTTTTTCTCTGAAAATGGGAAGGTTTTACATGTGTGAAATGCTTTTTTAGATCCTTCAGAGGTTTATCATGAAGATAATGCTATATTATATAAAGAGATGATCTGTTCTGGATATTTGAAACTGCTTTTTTGTTATCAGTAGCTGGAAATATGTAAAAAAGCTAGAGTAAGTATCATTGTCAGGCTCAACAGAAACTACAGAACATCATCAATCAAGAGTTACCTGATGTACAAGCTGGCTTTAGAAAGAGGTTCAGCACTCGAGATCACATTGCCAATAGTAGATGGATTACTGAAAAGGCATATGAATATCAAAAGGATCTATGTATGTGTTTTATTAATTGCAGAAAAGCTTTTGACTGCAGAACACAATAAACTATGGGTGGCTTGGTGTGATCTTAGTATCCTAACCCACCTGATCAGACTTATCAGATCACTATACAATAATTATGAGGCAACAGTGAGAACACAAATTGGTTGAGAAATCGGTAAGGGAATTAGACAAGGATGTGAGATGTTAAAAATCAACAGGGAGAAAATTGAATTAGTTTGAGAATTTATTTTCCTTGGATCAAAAATTGTTCATGATGGCGATTCTATTCCTAAAATCAAATTAATTTGATAACCTTAGGTCACACTGCAATGGTTAACATGAATAAGATCTGGAAAAGCAGAGATGTTAATATAAATATAAAGAATAGACTAGTTAGAATAACAGGACTCCAAGATCCCTCTCACAATTATTCCTACTGAGCCAGGTACCACCTATACTATAACTGTACATTTGGTTTTTCTTGCCTAAATGTAGAACCTTACTTTTTTCATCATTAAATTTCATTTTGTTAGATAGTGCCCAATGTTCAAGTCTGTCAAGATCCTTCTGTATCTTAAGCCTGTCTTCTGGAGTGTTCGCTATTCCTGCCAGCTTGGTGCCGTCTACAAATTAGATGAGTTCCCCATCAAATTTGCAGACAACATCAAACTGGCAGGAATAGCCAATAGTCTTTCCTATAATGATGTGTGTGTGAGAGAGTTGGACACTAAGAATGGCTGATTGAAGAAGGATTGAACTTTGAACTGTGGTGCTGGTGTAAATTATTGCGTACACCATGGAAAGCCAGAACAACCAACATAGAAGTCCTTAATTGTATGAAACCAGAAAGTCACTAGAAGCCAAAATTACAACATTCCATCTGATTTACTTTGGCCATGTCATGCAAATTTATTGGAAAAGTTGAATAATGCTAGGAATAGTTAGTGGATTAAAAAGAAGGGGCAAGCAAAGAACTTGCTGGCTTGAAACCATCAAAGCTGATACAAAGATGAACATCCAGCAACTAAAAGAAGCTGTGCTTGACAGGGTAGCATGGAGAGCACTTGCCTATAAAG